AAATCCATATGCATGCAACAGTGTTTTGGGGACACTTGTGATTTTGTGGTTAAGTGTCTTCTACAAACTCGGCTGTAAGTAATGCATTTTTTTTAATCTCCTCTTCTATGACAAATTGAAATGAATTTGTAACGCTCAATCCTGTTAATGCATAAATCAATGCATAAAAATTAAATAAAACAGAAAAGTGATCATATAAGCAAGGAAGTAAACCTCCACAGTATGTGCAGAATAAAAGCACCAATGTTTAGATGCGGGATGGATCCCTGCCCCTGTGTGGCACTGCGTGCTACCAGTGGAACAGATGAGTGCTGGCAGATCAGACAGACGAGGCAGGTTGATGTTGAAGAAAGGTTGAAGTTAGCATGAGTTTGTGGGATGCAGAAACATCACTCACCACTAAAGCAAGACCTAAAAATCTACCAATTCCCAGCATTATTTACACTTTTAAACCTAAATGATAACATAACTGATCGATCTTCTCTTTCTATGAAATGTGCAGCATCTTTCCCAATGAATGAAACAGGCTGTTATTGTTGTTCAAAAATAGCTGTATGCAGATTATTCAATATTACCTAACATGGCTCTGTTTTTTGGCTATAAGTGTGATTCTAATAATGGAATCCCTTCTCTGAACCACTGCTTGGCCTACACGATACTGCAAATATCTTCATTGAGCGACTTCATCCAGTATTTTTCTTCATTAGGATGCCATTTCATACGCCAATGCTAACATAAAACATTAGGTTTTCTCTCTATATATTTTTATTTGGAAAGATCTGCATCCATACAAAGATGTGGGAAAACCACAGCTTTTGTTATATCCTCACAACATTTTATTTTTTCATGAAAACTGCTGTACCCAGGCTCTACGGAGAAGTAAATTGTAACAATGAGGAAAGCTACAGCAGAAAGGGCTACATTGTTGTAACTTACAACATGTGGGCATCACGGGCCAATAATTCATGTGACCATCAGCTCATTATCTCACAGAGGAATGGCTACTGCTGTCTTATGTTCAAAAATATCTCCAATAGTAAGGTAGTCCACATGCACTTGCATTCTTTGCATCCAATGAAGTTGGACTAGACTGTAACACAAAGAGTTTATCAGGTGCTTGTAATACTTATGATCGGTCATAGTGATAGTGTTGATCAGTCTGCCTGCTTGACAATCCCATTTTATCTTAAACAAAATGAGTGAAGTAAAAGGAATGGACTGAGAACTAAAACAGATATTCACAAAGTTTACCTTTGTGGATTTTAATTTGCAAAAACCATCTAAACCGTCGTGATTTTGTTTGTGATAGTGTCTCATGACGATGCCGTACAAGCATGTGACGCCCGTGGCAGCAACAGATGTGCGCAGATCAACAATGGAAAATATGGAGTGTGGGAGAGAGTGCGACCATGCAGCGTTTAAAGCGTGGATGTGCTGACATTACTTTAAGTTTTATTCTGTAAAAAGTGACAAAAACATTAGCGTCCACTGTACACTCTGCGTGGGAATAAAACTTATTTCTAGGAAGCCGCCACAGGAATGTGAAATTTACAGAGAAACCTCAGGATCCTCCCACTGACATGACCGCTGCGGCACCGAGCAAACCTCCAATATCCCCACTCCTGCTAAACAGGTGAAAATACAGTGGCTTGCAAAAGTATTCGGCCCCCTTGAACTTTTCCACATTTTGTCACATTACAGCCACAAACATAAATCAATTTTAGTGGAATTCCACGTGAAAGACCAATACAAGGTGGTGTACACGTGAGAAGTGGAACGTAAATCATACATGATTCCAAACATTTTTTTACAAATAAATAACTGAAAAGTGGGACTCAGTCCCCTGAGTCAATACTTTGTAGAACCACCTTTTGCTGCAATTACAGCTGCCAGTCTTTTAGGGTCTGTCTCTACCAGCTTTGCACATCTACAGACTGAAATCTTTGCCCATTCTTCTTTGCAAAACAGCTCCAGCTCAGTCAGATTAGATGGACAGCATTAATGAACAGCAGTTTTCAGATCTTGCCACAGATTCTCGATTGGATTTAGATCTGGACTTTGACTGGGCCAGTCTAACACATGGATATGTTTTGTTTTAAACCCTGGCTTTATGTTTAGGGTCGTTGTCCTGCTGGAAGGTGAACCTCCGCCCCAGTCTCAAGTCTTTTGCTGACTCCAAAAGGTTTTCTTCCAAGATTGCCCTGTATTTAGCTCCATCCATCTTCCCATCAACTCTGACCAGCTTCCCTGTCCCTGTTGAAGAGAAGCACTCCCAGAACATGATGCTGCCACCAACATATTTGACAGTGGGGATGGTGTGTTCAGAGTGATGTGCAGTGTTAGTTTTCCGCCACACATAGCGTTTTGCATTTTAGCCAAAAAGTTCTAAAGACTAATAGTTGTCCTATGGACAGATTCCCCCACCTGAGCTGTAGATCTCTGCAGCTCGTCCAGAGTCACCATGGGCCTCTTGGCTGCATTTCTGATCAGTGCTCTCCTTGTTCGGCCTGTGAGTTTAGGTGGATGGCCTTGTCTTGGTAGGTTTATAGTTGTGCCGTACTCCTTCCATTTCTGAATGATCGCTTGAACAGCGCTCCGTGGGATGTTCAAGGCTTGGGAAATCTTTTTGTAGCCTAAGCCTGCTTTAAATTTAAATTTCAATAACTTTAACCCTGACCCGTCTGGTGTCTAAATCCAACCGAGAATCTGTGGCAAGATCTAATAAAACTGCTGTTCACAAACGCCATCTAATCTGACTGAGCTGGAGCTGTTTTGCAAAGAAGAATGGGCAAGGATTTCAGTCTGTAGATGTGCAAAGCTGGTAGAGACAGACCCTAAAAGACTGGCAGCTGTAATTGCAGCAAAAGGTGGTTCTACAAAGTATTGACTCAGCGGACTGAGTCCCACTTTTCAGTTATTTATTTGTAAAAAAAAGGTTGGAATCATGTATGATTTATGTTCCACTTCTCACGTGTACACCACCTTGTATTGGTCTTTCACGTGGAATTCCACTAAAATTGATTTATGTTTGTGGCTGTAATGTGACAAAATGTGGAAAAGTTCAAGGGGGCCGAACACTTTTGCAAGCCACTGTAGATTTAAGAGCGGCAGGACTTAGTGCTGCTGAATCTTTGATTTTATTGATCTTTTGCTGTGTTTTACTTGCATCTATTTGAAAGAGTGAGTGTAAACCCAAAACATTATTTTATTTTATATGCTGCAATATGCAGAAAATGGGTTTAAATGTTAAAGAATTTCTTCAAGTCAAAGACTGTTGAATGTAATTTAATTTTTTGCTTAATGCAATGTGTATAAAATTAAAAGATTAAAACTCATAATACAATTTTTAAAAAGAGGCTTTCCATTTGATTCAATTTAATATGACGGATTATGCATAAAAAATAGAATTGGGCTGAAAGGTCTATTGTGTTATTACGTATTCAGGTCGTGTATCGTGTTTTTAAAAAGTAGCTAAGTAACTAATTACTTTAGAAAATAAGTAATCAGTAACGTAACGGGATTACTTTTTTGGCAAAGTAATCAGTAATTAATTACTAATTACTGTTTTCAAGTAACTTGACCAACGCTGATATACACACACGGGCTTAAACAATTCTTAACCCTCTTGCACTTTCTAACAGGGCTGCAGACATATTCAGGTAAAGGGTAAAAGCTTGTATTCTTCATTAACATTCACAATACATGTTTAAAATGCACCACATCAGCACAAAAGCTTTTCCACAAGGACACCTACAATTTCATGTTACAGTGTAATAGATTGCTACAGGCAATTTGCTAACCTGACACTTAATTCAACAGCAAGATGATTTTCTTCACAGTAATTGAGAATGAACAATGAACAATCAGCCATAAGCGGCCAATACAATCTGATTACCTTTGATTCGCCGTGAGCAGCTCAATTTCTTAATTTCTGCCCGATTTTCACAGAAACACAAAGACACCAAAGCAGCTCTAATTTTTTTCGTGTCAGCTTCAGGAATGAAGTTCAAAGTTCACAGGATTTAGCTGGTTTGTTCCAATCATTTTCACATTAACACCCATTCAGATTCTGGCAACAGGGAATAATAGCCCAAACGGTCAATTGAAAAGCAGTCTTCTTTTCATCCCTGGATGACCCAGTTGGAAAACATCAGGTCAAAACTGTGTCTCACAATCGAGTAACAATGACACTCTAATTCTGTAAAACCCCACATGATATGCTTTTTTTTAATTCACTCTTAGCATGACAACACAAATGCACTTTCTGTCACTCTGTGTCAGCTTTTCTGGCACGGATTACACCAATCCCTTTAATTTAAATCAGACTCTCTGTGGAAACAGTCCAAACACTTTTGGTGTTTTAGTCCAATACCGATTAAACGGAATGAACCGGGGCCAGGGAGTCAGGCCCACATTTATATGGTATAATCTATGATCTAAGTGCATACACTAATATGGGCCATTTAACTGACCTGCTTATACTGCAAAACAAATCACCCTGGCAAGTGTGACTTGATATATTTTTAGTATGTGTGTCCTGGGGGTATTGGGCTGAGAAGCAACAAGGTCATGGTTGCTATCTGATGCACAGAGGAATATGAGTGTAATGGGATTGGACACAGAGAGCTTTGATGGAAGACAACATTTTATTTAAAGTGGACATAGTATAAGGTGTCAGCCATGTTTTGGGGGTTTCAACACTGCCTCTCTTCTACCCACACAAATACATATACTATAAAACTATGCTGTCCCAGCCATGCTAAACTGGAGAGCATTTTAAGTGTGAGCCTTCCTTCTTTGGCTATAGAAGTCTTAACAAACACAAATGTGCATTTTACAGACCTCTGAGGCTTTCGTGGAATTCTGTTTGATGTGGGACAAATGAGATTATGTATAACTTATTTTGTGATCGCTAACTGCGAGATTCACGGGACGTTAAGGGATCATGTGCATCTATTCCCCTCTGTAAAGGGATTTCTGATTAATCCCTCGTGACCTACCTGAAGTTTGACCGGGGCCATCCAGTTTGGATTCACATTTTGGAAGAGAGCAATCTAAAAAGAGACAGAGATAAAAATGAGAGAGGGAGAGAGAAATTTTAAGAAAGGAAATATAGAGCTAAAGGACTGCCCAGTGACCCACTAAAGCAGCAGCATGACCTTCATCACGTTTTAGTGTCCAAACATTAAAGCCTTGGGATTACAAATGAGAGCGAGTGAGCAATTCGAGAGGAGCCCTTTGATCTGCATATCTGGACAGACCCACCCTGAGATTAAACGCCATCAGACATTTTGTATGCAGTTCCACACACACACACACACACACACACACACACACACACACACACACACACACAGAGTTGTGTTTTCATATCTTAGTGGGGACATCTACCTGACATAATGCTTTCCCTAATCACATACCCTAAACATAACCTAATTGTAACCCTGATACTAAAAAAAATATTTTGAGTCTCAAAAATGTCTTCAAACTCATGCAGACAGGTATTTTGTCCCCATAACGGCTGTTGGTCCCACAAGCATAGTAACATCCCAGTTTTTGTTCCCCACAAAGATATGTAAACAAACACACACAGGCGTGCACGTTTACATAGATTTATGCCCAAACTGCTAAGCTGGAATCAATAATGTCAGTTTGAGCACCTCAATTAATTCAGGATAAAATAATCAATAATGACTCATTCATAATGGATCCTCTCCTAGTCCACACATCCAGCACACAAATCTAATTTTGCCAAATTCATACATAAATAAATAAGGCAACATTACTTCAAAGGGAACACTGATGTGAGAGACATTCCATGCCGATGACATAAACCCTTGAAAATAAATAAAAATGAATGAAATGACTCCAGACTGTAATAGAAGTTTCCCAGAAGTCAGTGCAGGTAACAGCTGGACCAAATGACCAAATCATCTTGTAGCCTGTAGAAGACTGAGAAACTCTTTCTGGGTCGCTCACTAGTTGTACACTATAGTGGCAAAAGATAACAGAGAGGAGAGAAGAGGGGCAGCTTAGTCCTTCACTCTAACTTTTCCTGGACTCCTTTATGAAAAGAACAGCCTGGCATATGCTGTCGCCTAGCCAGGATTACAGTAAGCACCTGTTCACGCACAGTACGCTTCATTTTGTACAGTGTAGATAAAGTTTTTGGTCCAGTGAAAAGCACTAACAGAATTTTCAAGAGCTTATATATACATGCATGCACAGCAGCCTGCGAGAGACAGACAGGCAGTCGGAGACGCCAAAGGGAACACAAAACAGAAGGTAACCGTCTACCAAATACTGTGAAATAAACAAACCACTAGGTTAAAAATAATTGAAAGAATCTTTACTTGTACCTGAGGACAAGGTCAAGCTGTTAGGAGGTTTTAAAGTAAGTAGGAACTATCCAGATTTCTCCAAAATCTGCACAAATGAACTTCTAGAGAATAAATAATGCAGATTATTTAATGTAAGAGAATTAATATAAGAGAAATGTCATGTTTACAAAAGGGAAAACAGAGGAAAACCCTTTTAGAGCAACGATGATATAGAAAGATGTTAACCTAAATCCTGTGCCTGTTTTTGTGATTGTGTAGGAAAAGAGAGAGGGGAAAAAAGTGAAATCGTGCACCACTAAGTGTGACCAATCAAATTCATTTGAGTGCATGTGTAAATTCGACAACAGCAGAAGCAAGAACCAGTACTTCTGCAAGCCTATACATTAGGATGGTATGTTAGTTTGATCCTCAACCCATTTTATATAAAGGCAGAGAGGCTTTGTCGGCTAAGTCCGAGGAGCACTGGGCTGGCACTGTTCACGCAACACAGATCAGAGCCTGCTGCTGCCTTCAAAGCAAGGGTGAATGATGCAGAGTCAGTCTGTTTGTGAAGGGAAGAGAGACTACACAGTTCCTGCTGGACAGAGTAAGTACAGCTGTTGGCAGAAGACAAGCAGTCACGGGCAGCACACAAGCTCACACATGTATGCAAACACACTCTGCAAGCTGTGCTTTGATTTTACCAAAGCTGAGCCCATGATGCACTTTAGTCCGATTTGTTGTTTTCATGCTGACTAAAGAGCGTCCTTGACTTGCCTGCTAAAGAAAGTAAAACATGCAGAGAAGAGCAGTAAAGAGAACGGGTATATTATCAGAATCAGCTTAAGCATAAATAGGAAAAGTGTTAAATTAAATATTCCAAAGTTAACAACACTATGTACAATATAAGCAAGATATTACAAGTGAAAAATAGTCCAGATGTCATAAGGAGGAGATGTAAAGTTTAATTGCAGTAGGTAGGAATGCTTTCCTGTGCTGTTCTGCGGTACATCGTGGTAGAATGAGTCTTTTGCTGACCGTGCTACTGTGGCTTTCCAGCAGAAGATGGAGAGGGTGTAAACTAAGAAGCTTGGAAAGAAAAGTGTCTGGACTTCTTTAAGTTGCTTGAAAACGTTTCACCTCTCATCCGAGAAGCTTCTTCAGTTCTAGGGTCAAATGGTGACACCAACTGTCTGCCATCTATAATCCAGTTTTGAGATCCCTTCACAGACGCCTTAACACCCACTCACATCCTGGGCCATCTGACCTCAGGAAATCACATGATAGGGTGGGGGCAAGGTTTCACAATGAGCTCACCAGAAACCCTGTCTGATTGTGACCTACACCCGTTTTCACACCTTGGCTCATGTGATTAGGTAGAGGATCATTAGGGGGTCCATTGTCCCCCTTGGGGGGGATACTCCCACAGGGCTTAAATCTGGGACTCTCCATCATTTGACCTTAGAACTGAAGAAGCTTCTCGGATGAGAGGTGAAACGTCTTCAAGCAACTTAAAGACGTCCAGACGCTTTTCTTTCCAAGCTCCTTAGACTACGATGACCTGGATGACTGAGAACCTTCACAGAGAAGATGTAATAGATCGTTAAATACTGTCCGTAACTTGGACAGCATCCTCCTTTCTGAAACCTCTGTCAGAGAGTCGAGCTCCACACCCACAGCATCACTGACCTTGTAGGTCAGTTTATTGAGTCTGTTGCTATCCGTTGCACCACAGCGCAGACAATGGCACTGGCCACCACAGACTCATAAAACTTCCTGAGCATCATCCGGCATATATCAAAGGACCTCAGTAGTCTCTGAGAATACAGATGGCTTTGGCCCTTCTTCTAGAGGGTTTCTGTGTTTTTAATGAAGTCCGAGGGTTTTTTTTGTCAATGTGATCACCGCGGTAACAGTATATGAAGTTTCATGAATGCAGCTTTTGCATGTGTGCTTCTGTGTGTGTGACAGAATATCATTTAAAGTTACTGCCATCAGCCTCATATAAAATTCAACAGAAAGACTTGAATTAGGAGCTGTAATTTTTTTAAAAGCAAGAAACTAGAGTGCACAGTGCAAGAATGAGGCCTCCTTTTCTTTCTAACTCTACGCAGGAAAAGCAACTGGTACTCTCGCTAACTGGTTTTATGAATGGAAAAAAAATAGCACACTGCCTGACACTTGACATGCAACCTTTCTCTCAAAAAGTATTTAAAAAAATAGCCCCAGAACTCAAGCAGAGCACTGGCCTCATGAGTCATTGCTCGTGTTTTTTTTTTTTCAAAGTGCTTTTGGTGAAAGTAAAACTGAGACACAAAGCATTGCATGATGCTCCTGACTTAAAAGACTCCACATTCAGATACTACCTTTGCCTGAAAGAGAGACGAGATAAGGGAGGCTATAAGCAGAAAGCTTGAGAAAGGAAGAATCATATTTTCGTTTATGAACATACGGAACTTCATATGACGATGTAAAGCATTTTATAATCTCTGCATTGGTGTCTCGGTTACTGAAGGTACAAGAAAAGAATGGAATTAGATGTGGTGGGACTTGCAAACAGAAGATCTGAATATTACAATAAAAGATCATTACTTGGATATATTACAACCCTGAGCAGAAGCGAGGTCTGAAGTAATGATGGAAGGCTGTGTGGGAGAGAAGTGGAGGAGGCGAGGAAAGGAATGAAAAAGGACAGAACGAGTGGGAGACTGCAGTTGAGTGATAGGCTTCGCTCTTATCAGATGGGGGATTTGCAGAAGACACAGAGACGAACCCACAGCTTATTTTTATGACCTGCAATCCTCCTTCATCCACCCAACCCCCCCTGTGCTTCATAAGCCCGGGGCGACGTGGGTGGGATGTAGTGATTTATACCTATGTGCACGTGTGTGTCATATGTATATGAATGTGCATGTGTTAGAACACAAGACGAACGTACTGGAATTCCTGGTAATTGACTTGACACTAGTAACCGATGCCATTCACATATGTGCACAAATACTCAGCTGATCTTTCTGGATAATTTTCCTGTTAACCACTTTAAATGAACGAACGTGATCTCTGTCACGGTGCAAAATAAGGCAGCGTAGTTTCACTCAAGACCTTAACTCAAATTAACTCAAGAAAATAAATGGCAAACTGAAAAGTTTGATTGGCTTCATTAAAGCTGAAACAACCGCGGCACGTACTTCCACATTTCCTGTGTTAACGTAATGGCCCAGGCCATGTCGGTGTGTCTTCAAAGCGACTCCACAGATGTACGTGACATTTTACAACAATCAATAACTTGGCGTGATGGAGTGTATTACGACTCTCAAAAAGGTCGAGAGCCTTTGATGAGATCGATCAGCATGGTCTGGCTGGTGTAACAGGTAATTGCCTCACTGTGCACCCTTCTTGATTGTCTTTGCCATAAAACTCTTAGAAATGGATCCCGATATCTGGCCCTTATAATACAGTGTACAGTAGGCTTTTTATATAAATTCACAGTAAGTGGAGGATTAACTCTTTATTAGCCATATCAGCAACTTTGTGAGGGTATTTCAGGCACACAGGCACCAGCATCTGGTCTGTTTATTGCACATACTTGCTCAATTTGATCACAAGTGGGATGGAACATAAATGCCACTCCACTGCAACATATATGTTTAAGGGGGAAAATTAGTACATCTGTTTAAATTCAATTTGCTAATATCAGGGATTAAATACTTTCCATACAGTTTGACTCCTATATA